GACAGTGGGTAAGCAAGGGTGGGGGGAGAGTGAGCAATGGAGGGAGGGGGGCATGGACCCTAAAGGCAGAAGGGGCGGAGCCTCAGGGCAGGAGGCAGAGCAAGTGTGTTCAGTTTTCTGCAAATATAAAGCTGGCAGCTCTAGCTGGGCCAGACCCAGGCCCGGTCCTGGCACTTCCTGTGCCGAGGAGTCTACCAAAGAGTTGGTGCAGGCCGGAGCCCTGCAGCAAGCAGCATGTGCTGCATCTCCCTCCCCCACGCTGGCCGGGAGCAGAGGGAGGCACCGTAGAGCTTAGCTCAGAGTGCAAACCTGGAGCAGCCGCTCCCAGCCAAGATGCAGCTTTGCAGGGGAGAGGGACTCCTCCCTGTACAGCCACCATGACAATTACTAGTGCAGGGTTTTATGGCGCCCCGCGGCGTGGCAGCCCGGCCCCCCGGAAGCATAGCGGCAGGACTGAGCACGCCTAGGCCAGCAGCACACGGCTGGGCTAGAGGGACTTGCAGGTGCTAGGCCCGGGCTCATTGTCTCCCACAGGCAGCACCTAGCAGGGCCTGGCACCTACATCTTCTGGATCCCTGGAGTCGCTGGAGGCCGCCAGCTCCTGGATGTGCCTGGAGATCCCGGCGTCCAGCTGCCAAAGAGACACATGCTCAGAGCTCTGGGTTTGCCCACATACACACGTGCCCACCGAGGCTTCCGATGGGGAACCCGCCAGGCCAGCAGCTCCTTAGAGCTCAGCCCTGTCGCCAACCCTCTCCCTCCGGCACTGGGGTCCCTGATCTCCCTCCCAAATGAGGCAGCCCACCCATCCCCACAGCTGGGAGTGCTAGGCTCTGCCTTTCTGCCTCCAACACATCACTGGTTGGGTCCTGTCCAGTGGCAGGGCCCGATCCCAAGGATCTTGTCTCATCCCGCTCTGGCTGCCTCTCATTGGTTCAGGACACGCAGTCCTAGGGTGAGAGATGGCAGGACTTTGCTCCATACCATCAGCATCTCTATCAGCCAGACCCAACAGCCAATGGAGCTAATGGGCGTCTTTCCATTGGCTTCGATAGGCTTTGGATCTGACTATCGGGCTGAGCCATAGCCCAGGCTCAGGGAGAAGGCAAGGCTGGCGGGTTACTTTGTTTGCCAGGGTCTGCACCACGTCTCTGATCTCGTGGTCAAGGCAGGTGACGGTGCCTTGCAGCTGGTTGTGCAGAGTGTGCTGGATCTGCTCCGGCTCAACGATGCCCCCCAGTTGCTGCTCCATGCGCCCCCAGTCCAGCTGCGCTGGAAGCTTCAGGATCAGGAGCCGCAGCTGCTCCACGTTGTTCACCACGATGCAGAGCTGGGGCGGGAGGGAAGAGGAAAAGCCCCGCGTCAGTGCCAAACACGCACTACCCTCACTGCCTGCCGCCCACTCCTGCCTCACCCCCACACCCGGCTGGGCTCCCTAAGTCGCACAGCCACGTCAGAGCCACGGTGCAGCCTAGCGACAGGCAACCTGCACCCAGCGGGACATCACTGAACAGCTGCTGAGACGCAAGTGGTGTCCAGCAGCGTAAACAGCAGGGGAAACCGAGGCAGGGAACTATTAGGCAGATGGCAGATCCAGAGCCCGTAGATCTATGATGAAGTGTGTGAACGAGGCCGGGTGGCAGCCAGTTCCCATGCACAACCATAGCAGGGCATTTATTTCCTTGCATTCTGATTGGACAAGACTAAATGTGCAATAGGGAAGCTTTTCAGCTCCTTCTTGGGGGGGGGGGGGGGGACAATGGTCTCACCCTGGCTCCAGCTGGCCATGGCCATGAGACGCCAAGTGCAATCTCAGGCACGCTGGGGAAATGCACATGGAAGGCCAGCAGCAGAGGAGACCCTGCAGGCAGGTGGGACCCTGGGGCCTGGTAGTGAATGGCTCTCTCAGGTGCTTCTCCGGCTCCTCTTACTGCGGTTTGCACACTCACAATATGTAACATGTATTCTCATAGCACCCCTGCGAGGCAGGGCTATGCTGTTCCCCTGGTGCAGATGGGGACCCGAGGCACAGGAAGGCTAGTGACAAGCTCAAGATCATGGCAGAGCAGGGGACTGATGCCAGGTCTCCTGAGTCCCAGGCTAGCGCTAACCATTGGGCCATCCTTCCTCCCTGGCTCCCCCACCCAGAGATCAGTGAGACTTTCCATCCCAACATGTCCTAGAGCTTGCACAGAATCCTCCAGCTCAAAGTCACTCACTTTAGAACTTGGGTCATTCCTCACCCCTCCCAACAGAACTACAGGGAACACAGGACAAATTACCCCCCGGTCACAGGGCACCGCCCCCGGCCCTGCATCACATGCTGTCGGGAGAGGCTGCCCTGGCTCCCTGAACAGTTTCCCCACCCCTCTGCTGCCCCTGCAGAGACCAGCTCTGAGACTCACCCTGTTAGCTGCATCCCCCTCGTCTTCCTGGTTCCTCGACAGCTCCTCTGCCCGGGTCTTGATCAGCTTGCAGTACGTCAGAGCGATTTTACACATGTCCTAGGCAGGGGGGAAAGGAACCTACGTTTCTTACAGGCACCATTGTTTGGCAAGC